CATTCACCCCCCCCCCCCCACCCCACAAGTGTAAGTAGTATGTGTGATTCAGAAGCTGCTGCCAACGCTGCCAGCTGGACCAGCACTGTGTGAAGAAGGTATGTTTGTCTGCACTATCCCACCAGCCACTGTCTGCACAGAATGGAGGCTAGTTTATTGTGCTATGATATGATAAAATATCTGATCCATTGCTTCCCCCTCATGCTTAGCCCAGGCACATAAAGTCCCCGATCCATCCTCCCACCCGCGCGCTGGGGTTTGGTTCCAGCCTTACAGTAACATCTCCCCTTGTAAGAGAATGACAGCTGAAGCCTTGCAGACAGAGCGATATGTCAACATCAATCCACTATGAATGAGGTCTGTGTGGTATGAGTCGCTTTCCAGGTTCTCCGACTCTGTAGTAGACCGTGTGACACACTGGCATCCCATTCAGGGTGCCCCCCTGTCATGTTTTCCTTCCTGTGACAGGCTCTGCCGCAACCCTCTCCTTGATGAGAGATCAATACTGGGGCATGCAGAGGAGGGGTCTCAGTGTGTGCGTGTGTGGGGGGGGGGGGCGGTGTTGTCCCCCTTGGTAAATTTTGCAGATGTGTAGATGCTCCTATGCCCCCCCCCTCACTTCCTCTCCTACTGGATGAATGGATAGATGTGTACTATATATGGATGCATTAGTATTTGGATTTTTTCCCCAGCAGTAAAACATGCGGGTGAATAGAATTGCTGAAAAATCTAAATCCAGCTTAACAGCAAAATAATAACTATAAGAGGTACTGGAGTGTATACTTTCAGAAGTAGGACTAGTCAGGGGTGTTATAATCGACCGCCCCCCCCCGGGTCGACCCTACACCATCGCAGAAAAGAATAAGGTAGGTCAGACAACTGGAATAGCCCAGGGCCCGCTGACCATGTTAACGTGGTTCTGGGACTTGCGTATGCATTTTGAACCTAAAATCTGTCAGTACTACGGTGCTTCTTCCCAGCCAGCTGTACAGAAGGTCACGTCCCGCTGTTTGACACGGAGAACTGAGCGTGCCAGCACGTGTCCGAGCCGGTCACAAGTTACTGCTCGCACTTTCTCCTTTTTAAATTGTTCACAGCAAGCCAAGTTTCCCACGGACAGGCTGCCAATGTACGGAGGCGTGTACCGCCTTGGCAAACTGTTCCTGTTTTGTAACAGCGACAAAAAGACCTAAGTCTGGATGAAATGCTGTCTGGCCGGGTGAAAACCCTTCAGCCCAATAAACTGTTAATGATGTAATTGCGGTTCGGCCGCTTTCCGAGACGCCGTCTCAGGCCCAGTCCAATGTAAATACCCAGTTGAAAAAAAACTGCCGCCCGTTATTATTAATTTGCGTTAATGCAACTTACATTTTGTTTGCAATAATTAGAGATACAGATTTAATAACAACTCACTTCAGTTGTCTATAATCCAGATCGTACGAATTAGGCTAATTGAAATTACTAAATAAAACTTTACATTTTTGCACCAAACTAAGAATTAGGGTTCTCTTTTCAGGCTATACAGATAAATGTATTAAATAAATATTATAAACAATTGCACTAATTCACATTAGTTGGTGATGGAAATGGGTTTTATCTTCACAAGTTTTTGAAAATCAAGTTTTTGAAAATCATCCGTCAATCCATCTTCCAACCATCCAGGGCGCGGGATTTAGATAATTAGCCCTATTTACGATTATGTATCACCAGATATATTACCGCATGTTTTACTTGAACAACTGCCCATATCTCAAATTTCGTTACGAGAACGACAGGTGGCAGGTAGTAGAATTGAACAGTGAAAAACAAACCAGAAGCAGCCCCCTTGGGTCCGATTTTGTGTAGTTTATTATAAGGTTTTATTGTTCGTATTTTTGATGAGGCAAAAATTGCATTTATCCTACAGCCAGTGGGTAAGAAGTCGCGTCACCTGAGAGCCCATTATCCACACGCTGTCCAGTTTATTTTTCCAGATAATAGGCCCGCAATCTGACTCATCGGCCCACTCGCAGCGTGTCTCTTTCAGCCCTTAGCCAAAATAGGACAGAAAAAAACGAAGCGATACTCCCAGTCCAACAATTTTCCAGCGTGGGGGGGTTCACAGTTGTAAATATGAGTAAAGAAAAAAAAAAACGCGGCCGTCATATTCAGGTTAATGTAAGTGCAAGTTTACAGCACGTCCTGTCTCGGTGAGATCACGGAGACGAGGAGGTACAGGGCGATATATCTGTCCGGCTTCTGAAAGCTGAATTCAGTCGCAGCTGCCGGAGGGTAACAGGAGTCCGCTTTACTGAAGCAGGGGTAAGGCGTCAGCGCTTCTCAATCAACCTTTATTCTCTCACGGCTTTTATTCCTTTCAAAAGTGTATCGTCAGTTAATACCATTGCACAAATAAACAGAAACAGTCAACAAGTTAACATCATAGGTATGCAGGGGTCTGTTGCTCATTCGTAATGCGATGCAATCAGGTTTTCTTTTTTTTTTATAAATTTCATAATTAAGCTGAAATACTCCTGCGCTGATTTTACCCGTCGGTAGGGGAGTATCTAGCTATAGAAAAGATCAGGGGGTAAGTCAAGTTTACCTGGGGCTTGACTTTTTTTTAAGTAGGATTGGCATCGGGGCTGAAATACTCGGGGCTATAGCCTGAGAGATCGGACCTAACGATGCCGAAGCCCGTCATTACAATATTAAAGTGTCGCTGTCTTGTTAGATGTTTCTTGGTTTTTAAAAGTACTTTTTTGTTAGAATTTCACTAATAATATAAACGCCTCGAATAATCAAACATGAATAATATTCATTTACCTGTATAGTCACGCCCAGTGCGGCCACCTTTACCTGCTTGGGTAGATCATGGGGACTTTGTTCTCCTTTTGTGACGTAATGCGTGTCCAGATCGTACTGTGCTATTGTTATTTTGTGATTCCTTTGTTCTGTGTTCTAAATGATCACTTTGCGATCTTTGTGTGATTCGCTGTTTTTATTTTCTCCCTGCTAACCTTACCTGTCCTTCGAAGTACTGCTTGTGTTTTGACAGCGGATTTTTGATTATGATATATTATTATTGAAATAAACCGTGCGCGTTATACCGACGTTTTAAAAATATATTTACCTCAGAAAGGAAAAGGGGTATTTTTAGGTGGGATACTGAGTAGTGCTGTTACCTCATGTTACCGGAGTTTGGGTTTTGAATCCCATCCCTGCTGTTGATGTCTGAATCTTGCATATTCTCCCTGTGTTACCTGGGTTTCCATTTGCAGTCCAAAGACAAGCACAACGGCTAATTGATGTCTCTGAATTGTGTGTAATGTGCCGTCCCTTTAAGGGTGTGCGCGTGTGTGTGTGTGTGTGTGTGTGTGATTGCCTGCCCTCTGTCCTTGCCGCCTGGTACAGCCTGGCCCCTAACCATCAATTTATTACATATGACATTCAGCTTTGTTCCTGATAAATTAACCTAAAACATTTTGTGTGTGTGTTGAAGTTGTGTGTGTGTTGTGTGTATATATATATCTAGCTCATCTTCACCTCAGTCACTATCACTATGAGTTCCAATGTTGCAACCTGGGATGACCATGCCTGAGCAGAAATCCTGGGGTCCTCGCCCTGGTTCATTACATTGTACAGCCTGGCACCTCCCTGTCATTAAGTGTCACTCAGGAGGGGACACCATGAAACGGCCTCATCTCCCAGCACATCAGGCACCGAGAAGAGCAGTGTTTACTCTTCCCTTAGCTGTGGTGTCTGTGCTCTTCGTTCTGTCTGCCACTGACAGTTTTCATGGACGCACACACTGGATTCCAGTCAGTTGATCAATCAAGTATAATTCAGTGTTTTTTTCCAGCCACGCTGGAGAGGGAGTTTTTCTTTCCCAGAAAGAAACACAGAAAAAGAACTATTACCTTATGAAGAATAGTCCATCCATCTTTGAAATGGTTATCCTGGAGTCTGTCACAGGGCACATGTATACACACACTGTGGGTAATTTGGAGGTACAAGTTTCTGTGGCCCACAGGAGAAAACCCAGGTCCCATGGGGAGACCCTGCAAACTCCACACACACGGTGGGGGCAAGAATCGGACCCTCATCCCTGGAGGTATGAGGCAGCAGTAGTCCCAAGAAGCCTCTATACTCCATACTCCAGCCAGCTGTAATCGAGTACGGTTAAGGCAAAACAATGGAGTAGTACTCCAGGAAAATAATTGATTAATACTCTGGGAAAATCATGTCTTAAGAAAGTAACAAACACAGTGATGATGGGTGACAGCAGGGAGGGAGGGAGACACTAAGGTCCAGTGGTCCCGCTGTTCAAAGGAGGGGACTGAGAGAGGACCAAGTACTGTGTCACTGCGTCGGATCCAGTGGATGCTCTGTTAGCTTGGGGCAAGGTGGCCTGAGCAGAAAACAGAAAGGTGAAAAAACAGAAATGCACAGGACCAAGTCAGTGGATATGGTGGAGAGAGTGAAGAACCATAGTTATAAGATCTGATCCAGAACTTGGCGCCCAATAAGACTGAAGCTCAGCACTGCTGGTTACTGCTGTAATTGCCCCTTGTATGTCGGTATTATGACTTGCACCTCATGGAACGGCACGGTGGCTCAGTGTTTAGTGCTGCTGCTTCACACCTCTGTGGCTGGGGGTCTGAATCCTGCCCCCAGTGCCGTGTGGGCAGAGTTTGGACATTCTCCCAGTGTTCATGGACTTTCCCCCTGCAGTGGTTAGATTTAACATGGTGTCTCTGAGTTTCCCAATGTGAGTCCCCTGCAGTGGACTGGCATCCCATCCAGGTTGTTCACCCACTGTGTGCCCCATAGTATCTGGCATAGGCTCCAAGCCCACCGTGACTCTGTACTGACAAGCAGTGGCTTTGTAGGTCTAGTCCGTAAAATCCTGATCACACAAGCTGTCTTTCAGTGACAGGCGGATGGCATTTCTGAGGAAGTTTACTAGCTGGGTAGACAAGCTACTCATTACAAAAAAAAAACAAACTCAAATTTCTCTCATCATGTCATATTTTATGTTTTTAAAAATGGAGAATAATATTCTTCGTACATGAATTTTCTTTATTTTAGCTACACAGTGGTGCACAAAGACAAACCAGGATTTTTTTTTCACCACTGAAGTGGAAAACACAAATAATATTTTAATAGCTACAGGGAGTGACTCGATCGCCTGCAGTGGTACTGAAGTGTGATTCATTTCCATTTATATAGAAATGACAGAATCCAGGAGCGATTGTATTTCTCCAGGTCGAACTGCCCTGACATTCAATATTGTTTCTTGAGTCTTCAGACTGGATACCTTGCAGAAACACAGCAGATTCCAGGAAAAATGGAAGCAGTAATGGTCTCACTCAGTGCAAGGGGGACGTGGCATGTCGGGGAAATGAATAATTAGGTCCCTTGACTGTGTTGTGTCCTTCTGCCGCAGCCCAGAAACACACAATGTTTTCTGGAGACTGAACGAGAGGGCGTTCATCCTGTGATGTTCCTGCAGACTGAACGGACCGGCCTGTGCTGGATTTTTGAAAGCAGAACTCCAAGGATGTTCAGAATATGATGTATGGCTCTCATGCTTGGTGAACTTTGAATAATTTGCAGCTTTACCACAGTGATGAAATCGTAAACTGTCTTCATAAACGTCATAAAATGCCTCGTAAACTTCATGGATCACATTTACGTGTAGGACATGTCTTTCTTGGTGCTACATTCTCTTTACATCCTTTTTCTGTAACCGCTTAAACAATCGTGGCGAGCCCGCAGAAGCACAGAGCAAGAGGCAGGGTCATCACAGTCCAAAACACTGCAGGCATGTTTTAGATACACCCAGTGGTTGAATTGTAAAAACATTTCAAGGGTGATAGTGGGGGTGAAATATCTGCAAGGCTGGGGAGACAATCGTGCAGTACGAATTAAACTGTGTTTCAGTCTGGTGTGGACCAGATTCTCCCTGCTGAGAGCCCTTCATAATGTTACCTGCACGTGAGTGAAATTACACAGAACAATTTAGGGTGGGGGTATGTATTTGGACTGGCAGTGGAAATGCAGTGGAACATGCAGACCCCACATAGACAAGCCAGTTCAGGGTCCACAGTGAGGCCACAGCACTACCTACCGCACCACTGAGCCACTAAACCTACTTTTTTTGGAATTATTACTTATTAACTCATATTAAAATGTTGAATTCTTGGAGGAAGATGGGAAACTCAAATGTGGGGCAGCTGAAGGGGACGCGGTTTGACGAAGCTCTGCACAGCTCCATCATGGAGCTGCTCCTCTCTGATGGCCCAGCATCCAGACCGGTCTTCACTCAGCTCTACCTGGAGGCTGGAGGGCTGCATCATCAACAGGAAGGTCTCACTCACTGATTCATAATGTCTGGCCTTTTTCATAAAGTCTTCTTTGCATGTTAAGTGCAGGGCTTGGAGCTGAAGTTAGGGGTTTTGCAGGACACACACACAATCGCAAACTATGGACAGTTCAGAAACATCATATCACTTAATTGCATGTTTTTAGACTGTGAGGGACGAGCACCCAGATGATTTAGATCATGGGTACTGCTGGACCTCTTTTACTGGCACACGTACCCCAATATTGATCTGCTGTGCTCCAGTAAAGTCTCTTGCTTGAGTCTTAACAAGCTCCAAGCTCTGACAATGGATTAATTTAAATTGACGATAATGGGAAAAGAATGGATGCTTTTCTTCAAATCCACAATGTCAAAGCAATGCAGTTTAACCCAGAAAACAAGCTGAGGCGTGCACCTTGCGGTCCAGGTCTGTACACCGCAACACACACGTTACTGTCCATGCACACCAGTGTGCATGTCATAGCCAGTGCACTATGGTGCACACATTACTGTCCGTGCACGCCAGTGTGCATGTCGTAGCCGGTGCACTATGGTGCACACATTACTGTCCGTGCACGCCAGTGTGCGTGTCGTAGCCGGTGCACTATGGTGCACACATTACTGTCCGTGCACGCTAGTGTGCATATTGTAGCCGGTGCACTGCAGCACACACAAGCAGCAATCTGTGTATCAGTGCATGAAACATGAATCAGAATCAAGGAAAGATAACACCACAGGACTAAAGTAAGTTTTTAAATAATACTGATTATCTTCTTTGATTGAGAAGTGATAACACGATAGTATATCACATTTCATACATGCAGCAGGCAATGTCTGTGGGAGCCAAAGTGATCGCTAAACCCCCACAGGGTGATTTCAGTAATGGGGGGTCTGTACTCCAGTAGAGCTTTGTGTCTAGCGATGTCCCTGATTTAGATCGTAGGATTGCAGTATTGCCCACACTGGATGCAGCATGTGTTGGGAAGAAAGTAACCGATGTTCATTTCTACTGTCAGCTGAATCTGAGGATAAAGAAGGAGAGGAAGACGAATGTTTCACGCTCAAAACGCCCTCCATCCCGCGGCACCTGAAGCCCTCGCCAGAAGGTCACTGCACCACAGATGGTGAGACGGCTTTATTAGACATTCTTCCCACGTGGAACCGGGAAAACACAGTTTTCACATCTATATCCCTTTATATAAAGAGTACAGAAAGCGGCCGTGTGCAAAGAATGCCTTTATTGTCATCGTACAGGTAGCAAATAAAAGGAAATTCCAATCTTTGCACATCCCATTTTGTGCTCCTATGAGACACACACACACATACAGGTGAGAGCAAAATGTGGGTCAGAGCACAGGGTCGGGCATCGTGTAAGGGCCCAGTGGCGATGTGGTTAAACTGCGGGTATTTCTGCAGGTTTCTGCCAGTCAGGAAAGGACCTGCGACTGGCTTCCATCAGCACCAGCTCCTTGGACACTCCGGCCGGGTTTCTCCTAGTGGGAGTCAAGTCCCCTGTTCTACTGGACGACACTCTGGTCTGCGCTGTGGACCGCAGGTTTATTCCAGATGAAACCGGACAGAACGCACTCCTAGGTCTGTTTTGCGGCCACTTCTTGTGCAGTAAAATAACTCGGAAAGTTTCAGCTGTGTTTTCTTAGATGTACGTCTATCTTCCAACCACTTATCATTTGACAGTATTGATTATAAGTGGGCTTTCAATTTGTCCTAGACAGCACAGGCAGGGGCACACCAGGGTGCCCTCACACACTGTGGGCAATCTGGAGATGCCAGTTAGTCTAACTGCATGTTTTTGGGTTGTGGTTCATACCTGAAGGAAGCCCACACGAAGGTGTCAGAACAAAGGCGGTGATTAGCCATGGTCTTTGCCTGGATAAGTTAGTCTAAAAATACAAGAACAGGTGGAAGTGTACATTTAAATTGTTTTAATCAGCTAGGCCTGCCCCCTGGGGTTACTGGATCGCCTTGGTTTTTCACCGAGGGACTCAGGATATGCTCATGGGTCATCTCTAAGGCAGGTGCTATAGATAAAATCGTCGGAATTGACGTCATTTTGATAATATATGGTGCGTTCGATTATTTCTCTCCAAGTCGGAACTCGGATGAAAACGTCACGAAACGTCACGAAAAACATCACTTCCCGTCGGAAACACGCCCCTTTTATGACGTTGAAGTCGGATAAACGCCGCGATCACCGTTTCGTCGCATCTCCTGTTCACCGTGAAATTGTTCTGATCCCACCCGCTGGCCTTGATTGGCTGACATAAATGTGACGCCACGGAAGTAGTACTACGTAGTAATCGGAATGCTTTGTACCGCACCGAGCGTATTTTGTTGATAGTAAATGTCGTCTGTGTAATGTTTGCCGTGGTATGCGTGTGTTTCGTTAACGTTTGTATTGTTGGTTTCCCTGTTTGTGTCACTGCTAGTATTAAACCAACGGTGATTGTTAATAAAGAAACTTAAGTTTTAAAAGAGCTGTCATCTCCCAGGGTTGCCAACTGTCACGGCTACAGATTATTTACAAGGTAATAAAACTGTTACATACATGTACATCCGTGTGCATGTGTGTGCAGACTTGTATGTGGCAGCCAGCTGACCAAAGTTGGCAATCCTGCATCTCCATTATTAAAATTACTCAAGCGTTCGTTCTCAATACGTTTTCTTTCGCTCTCCGTGTGGGTTTGCTGCATCCAAGACGTCCTGCACCCTCGAAGGTTGTGCCGTGATAGAACAAACAAGGCTGCTGCATCATTTTAAGTACGCGACAGATTGTTCTTGCTGACGTGTTCGATTTCGTTTTGTCCGGATGTCGTTTGAAGTGTACGGCAAGCCAAAAGTAAATCCATGCGGTATGAAACATAAAAAGGAGGCTGTTTTATTTCTGTATTAGGGTTGTAAATCTTTGGATTGTGATTATTTAAAGTGCGATTCGATGCATCAGCAATGTATTATTTCTACCACAATTCTATTCAAGTTTAATATTTTGATAACCTAAATTAAAAATTTTTGGAACTTTACAAAAATACAAACATGACTATGGGAATTTAAATGCACATTGTTAATGGAATAAAAAGAAAGTAGAATATAAATTTTTATTATTAAACAGGGAAAACACACCAGCCTGTATACGTTGTCAAAATAGCCAACTAGTAAAATGTACAGGGATGTGTGAATGTGTGAATGAATGTTTAACACTCTTTACAGTTTTGTAAATTGCCCTGTCATTAGTTTTGATTCCTCTTTGCGTTTATCTGAACATTGCCAACACTTATTTTCAAGACCAGCATAGTTTTCTGTTCTTTTAGCCTTTTTTCAAGGTTTGCTTTCAACAAAAGTAACTGATTCACATGCTCTGCAGTGAGTGCTTCTTTGTGCATTAACATGGCCTCCAGCCTCTTCTTAACATGGCCTCCAGCAGGACCCAACACTTGATCTGCACCTGGGATGCACAAATAATGTTTTGCAAAAGTGGAGAGCAAGGGGAGCTCAAACTCATACATTTTCTACCAAACCAAACAGGCACCATCCAACAATAGAGTGTCTCTCTCTCTGTATTTTCCACACTTCTTTCCTGGCCATGTCCTTGGAAGACTCAGGTCTCTGAAGCTGACTGCCAGAATTCATCACCAAACAGTTATTCTGTTGCTTTGGTTTTTGAAGGGGGAGCCTTGTCGTGCTCTTAATAAGGAGAGAATATTGAATATTTATGTTTGCTACACAAAACACCCCCAAATTGTAAATAGAAGAGATAGAAGATAACATAACTATTGTCACACCTGCCCCCTGTTTCACTAATCAGGTAACTCAGCCTGTTCTGGGCTGGTGGCAGTTAGACCCCATCTTTATTTAATTCATTGCTGTCACTCTTATACCATAAGGCTCAGTCAGCTCTCAGTCATCGCTATCACTCAGTGCATAGGGCTCAGTCGACTCTCAGTCATCGCTATCACTCAGTGCATAGGGCTCAGTCGGCTCTCAGTCATCGCCATCGCTCTTAGAGCATAGGGCTCAGTCAGCTGTCAGTCATCGCCATAGTCGATTCTCAGTCATCGCCATCGTTCTTAGAGTATAGGGCTCAGTCATCGCCATCGCTCTTAGACCATAGGGTTCTGTCAGCTTGCAGTCATCACCATCACTCTTACAGCATAGGGTTCAGTCAGTTCTCAGTCATTGTCATCGCTCTTAAAGTATAGGGCTCAGTCGGCTCTCAGTCAGAGGTTAGTTTTATGGGGTTAGATGGAGTAGGTCTATGTGCTTGTCAGTAGTCAAGGATTTTGTTTTGGGCATCTGGTTAGCCAGTTTTGCACTTTGAGACTCATGATCTTAGCATCCCACAGCTGGGACGCTGTACTGCTGGTGTCCTGTATTTAGGGGTTTCTACATGTGTGTCCTGGGTTTGTGTTTTTGCCACTTTTAGGCTCCCCGGTTCCTGGTCTGGGTTCTCCAGTCCTCTGCGTTTAAATCTGCTTTCTGGTCACCTCATCCTGGAGCCATCCATCCAGTCAGTGGCCCGAGTCCCCCTGCTTCCCTGTTTCCAGCAGTGTTGGGCCTGTTGGTTTCAGGGCCTGGGGATGTGATGGATGGATGGTCCAGGTTGAAGTGTTTTATCACAGACCTTGTTTATGAAAGCTAATAACAGCTTTTAACCAGGAAGCACTGAATCTGAGTTTAGACAATTATCTTCCAACCCAGATTAGAAGTTGGTTACACATTTTTAAGTTAGAAGTATGTGAGAGCGCACATCCCAAAAGTATGTTTAAGGAGAACTTTGTTACCTAAAATCGATTATACCCGATTCTGATATTACAGACTGATACAGTTGAATTGGCACCTTAATATTTTGTTCAACATGATTCTTCTATGCTTCTTCAGACCCCTATTAAATACTGTTATACTTTCAAATGAATATCATAGTTACTTAACAGCATATCCTGCTTTTTTCCCCTGAAAATTCTGAATCTAAAATAAATCAATTAAATTTTTTTATTGATGCACCATGATGGACAATCATCCCATCCAAGAAGTCCTGCCGTGTGCTCAGTGCTACCTGGGGTAGGCTCAAGTCTTCACTGTGACCTTGTACTGGATAAGTATTTATGGATGGATGGATTTTTTTGTTTCAGGTTTTTATGTAATGTAATTGTAGCGACTAACATAACACTCCTAGCACCCTAATATATGGTGACCTGTGTATCATCCCCATTTAGCTTCCCATTTCCAGCAGCTTCTCTGTCTGCCTCCGTTCTCCAGGTTTCCTTGGTAACTGCGTGGGCTGCGGACGGGGGGGCTTCCGCTACTTCACCGAGTTCTCCATCCACATCAACCTGAAGCCCAGCGGCCAGCCCATGAAGCAGAAGTACCTGCAGTGTCACCTCCACAGGGACGCGTGTGGGAGGCTGGTCACGGGCCCGCCCATCTGCTGGAGGACTGCGGGTCGGATGATGGGTACGGCTGCCGTGTGTGGGTGAACCAAGTGGGGGGGGCATAAAGCAGACGCAGGCCTGCTAATCAGAAGACCTAAGGTGCAGGCCCCTTGAGACCCAAGAGAGACCCCTTGGTACTACAGCAAGACTATAAGGTAGCTGGATAGGGACAAAGCAAGTCACAGCAGAGGGACGGGTTACAGTGTGTGTGCTCCCTGGCACCTCTGCATTGTTAGCAAAATGCCTGACGTGTTGAACTGCAGACAACCCACTATTTTCTGCCTGACCTTTCCTGAAGGGTGTTGCCCTGTTGTGGGCCATAGGAGAGACCCTACGGCCCTGCAACAAAGTTCACAGTTCAGTCCCAGCCTAAGGGATCCTGACCTGAGTAAGCCTTCCGTTCCAGCCCGCCTAATCGCCCCCCACCCACCCACCCTTATAATATAAACACGCCTCCTGTATCACTCAAATAAATGTGTAATTACACAGGTAAGGTTTTATCTAATGTGTAACTAAAGCCAGTAGAATTATTAAATTAAAATATATTTATAATAATATGAATAGAATAGTACTTTGGCAGCCCCACATAAATATTAGTGAATTTTTGCACATCCCATCTTGCAATCTGTGAGAGACACTCACACTTTTGAGGTGAGAGGACAGTGTCCTAATGCACCCCTGGAGCAGTTGGGGTTAAGGTCCTTGGTCAAGGGCCCAGCAGTGATATGATGACCAGTAAAATGTTATGAACCCACAACCTCCAGATGCAGGAACAGATACCGAACCCATGGGGTTATGCTCCAAATATTTACCTGTTTGGAGCTCTCCCAGTCCAAAGCTACCTGCTCATTGTCTTGAGTTGTGTGAATTTATTAAATTATGAAAACTGCGTCTTGTACAATATCAAGTGTGTGCAGTTTTAATAAGAGGGGCATTCTGGAAGCAGCTGAAATTATCAGCATTATAATTTATTTTATTATAATTATAATTATGATGATGGGATGGCAAAACAAGCAATATGCTTCAGCAGAGAATAGGGAAGCAGAACAAAAATCATACAGACGACCGGGACGATCTGACTAACCTTCTCTCAGATTAATCAGGGGACTTTTGTGAGGCGAGGTCACCTGACCATCCCAGCATCCACAGTGCCCCCCCATTGCATACACTATTACATAACAGCCTCATAGTGCCGTTGACATTGCAGTTAATTCTTTGATGGCATCCAAATGAATACAGGGCCCCCTAAAAAGAGGCACAAAGGCTGGCTGGCAGAGAGAGCCACGCCCGCCCCCTCCCCATGACGACCGTCTCCAGAGCCCCTCCCAGCGATGACGAGGTACGAAGCCCCGGCCACCGGTGCTGGCAGTGCAGCGGCACAGCTGATGCCGTCTCTTACTTCGCGTATCCTTTGGCTCTTAGGTCACGCTGAGCTCTCAGCTGAAACTCGAGCTCCCTGGACAGACAAGAAAGAGCATCACCGCGCAAAAGCTCCTGCACGCCAAGATCTGGATGAATCTCATTTCACAGGAGGAAAAGCTCCCTGACACCCCATACGTGTCGGTGTGATGGTTCAAAATCAGTCCAGGATCATTATTTCAAGTAAAGAAAAAACACACACATAAAGCATAGCTGTTGTTCAGTTCAGTTTAAGGTGGACACGCCATATTCAGTATGTTTGTTAGCCTTTGATTGGTGTTACTTAGACCTGCAACAATAAATACTTCACTGACAGAGGGGCTGGCTCACGTTTTATGTCATCAAACATTTGTCTGCTGCTCAGGGTCAGCTGTTGAACTGAACCAGTGTGAAATTCCTCTTAATTTTAAAGTAGATTTATTTTATTATAATAATAATAATAATAATAATAATAATAATATATTATATTTGTATTATATTAGTATACAATATGCCTGTACAAGCACTTGTGTCCAACAAGTCTAGTAAAGAGTATATTGAATTCCGTTTGAGTCTATTTCCAGTATCTGCCAGAATAATGGCATTGTGAATTCAGGACATCTGAATGTGTACAAATATTGAATTATTTACACTTGATATTACATAGTTAAATGAGTTAAATATCCTGTTTACAAGATGTTACCAGTATAATAGATGTGACTGCTTTCTTTGGTCTTCAAACTGTGGTTGTAATTACATCCAGACTGTTAAAGGCTGCACTGTAGGGACAAGGATGGACCGATAGGAGGATGAACAGGGATTCTTAATGTAGTCCGTCAACAAAGACGTGAATTTCTCCAGTTTTGATACATGATTTAGTCATTGAATGCTTTAATCCAGCACTAAGCGAAGACTCTAACGGAAATGTGTCCATGTGCGGATACTTACTTTCGCATATCCAGCATGATGACGCTGCGCAATAACCATTTACCAACAGTATTAAAGCGTGGCTTTACTCGAGGTTAGCCTTGGCACGAAGGCATTCCTTGTGCTGAAATTCTCACGAATCAGTTCGTTCGTGAGATGTTCTGCATAGGGTTGCCAGATTTGGTCAGCGGGCTGGAGTGGGATTTTCAATTCGAGACAGGTCTGCACACGTAGGTAAGAGTTTTGATACCCTGGAAATAGTCTATAAGGTTTGCAAACTACCCCAACGCTTTTGATGTAGCTAATTTTAGGTTTATACTGGAATATTATGGATTTTCTGTAAGATTTTTTAATCTTTTTTTTTTTTTTTACAAGAACTGTAAATACATAAAACAGACAATGAAGATTTCTTAATCGTGAGAGTCTGAAAGTGTAAAAGTGACGTCAGATGCGTGAGAGTTGGCAACCCTGCATGCATGACAGAAGGCTTCCATGTGCGACACTGAAATGTAAACTGAAATGCGTACAGTATGTCCTGTAGGTTCAAGAAGAATAACTTTTTCTATTTATTACAATAGACTCATGAAATTGTCTGCGAGTACTGGTGTAACACCAAAGTTACACGAAAGACAAAAATATAAAACGATTTATTTGCCTATATGAGGAATTAAAGATAAGTTGCATGTATACCTTTTTAGCGTATCAGTCCTGATGATAATCACATCTGTTTTGATGGCAATATGTTTTGCTTTTTAAAAATTCATATCCTTTGTATAAATTCAGTTTTTCTGACTGCTCCACAGTAGCACAAATAAACACAAAATTTGTACTTTTTAAATGTGCTTTTAGTGGTTAGTTATCAGTTAACAGTGTTGTTTTACGCTTTTATTAAACAGGTTGTAAGTAAACTAAGAAAGGTGCGTTGAAGTTTAACTATACGTATATACGTTTCCATACGTAAAATGTACCTGGCGATGAAAGCGTTTCTACTTACGATTTTGGATTCTACCTCCAATTCTTTTAACCATTAGAGGGCGCCAAACATCTACTGAGTTGCAAACAAACTCAGCCAAACTTTCACAGGCTTTTCAATCAAGAAATCCAATATTAGCAATAGTGAACCATGAAACACTGAAATTAAAAATCTCTTATCTCTGAAGAAAAGAGGGATGCATGAAACTCAATGAAGCTGTTTAGTAAAACAAGGGGCTTCATCAAAAATGGAATATTAATACAAAGAGCTATTGATGCTACCAATTTGATTAATTCATAACAGAGCCCATACCAGAGAAACTCAGAATTGTAGAAAATAAGTAATTAGATTTCACCAAAGAATCATTTCAGCAGTTATGCAAACATAAACTGAAGTGATTTTCAGTTACCAGTGAATCACTGGATTTATTCTGTATTATGAAGAAATTTTCCCCTCCATCCGTTATCAGTCACCACTTATGGTCATGATTCAGATCACTGATGCAACTGGGACTAGAATGTTACATTGCAGGCCCTGGCACACAAACACACATAATCACATATTGACAGGCTAGAGGTAATACTAGAGACACCTTTAACTTAATAACATTGCTTTGGAGACCAAGAGATGACTGCTGCACTCAGGAGAAACCCATGATAATGTGAGAAGGAGAGACAGGCACCAAGCCGACACAGCTGGGGACTCTGAGGCCACGGCTCCTGTTCTGTGAAATGCCACACTTAGTTTGGAGAGCCAAACGAGCAATCCGATATCTCGTCCATTGGGCTGACTCAAAATAACTGGTATTTTGGTCACGTAAACAACCAGAACTGGATGTTATTCTTCGTGATCCTCGGCTCTGACATGTGTTCGCATGTGTACTTGTATCGCTGTGCCTGCTTCGACGTATCACAAGGCGTGACCTCATTCGGATGTCTGAGGAGTCAGCAGCTCCACAGATGGAGCCCGTGCTGCAGATGCTCTCCAGTTTCTGCGTGGAACATCTCTCAAAGAACAGAGCCCATCGAATTACTAGGGGGAAAAGCCTGTACGCCCAGTCTCATCCCGTTTGTAGGAACAGTGGGAGACCGAGAGACCTCCGGTCCAAACACGCGATGGAATCATGATATCAGCTGAGCACTCAGAAGAGTTCTGTGATGGTGGGACCACCATTGAGTCCACCTGGTCCTGGGTAACGTTCATGCATTGATTTGGTCTTCTTCCAGGGAGGGCAGTCTTGCATGAGTCGGCTGGGTGGGAGACAACAGTGGAAGGGGGCTTATGGGAAATATTGCATGACAACAGCATGGATGGCAGCCCTTGGTGGGAGGAGGGAGACCAGAAAGAGCAGGAAAAGTATACATGTATACTTCTCGGTTTTGCTGCAGCCTTGATCTAGTGATGATGGACTGGGCATGAGTTGTTCTGCTGGTAATCACTGTGTAAGGCTTATGGCTTCTTTTACTCCATTGGTTGTTCAGTCATGAGGCCACACAACAAGTGGCTGAGGTGGCTTCCTTCAAACTGAGCTCAAGGGGTAATCAAGCTCAAGGTGCAATCAAGCTCTAGATGATTGCTTGACCACCGTCAGTGGTTGGGCTGTAAGTTCCAGTTTTTCTGTGCACAGACTCACCCTAGTAAAACCCTTCGGGGCAAAAACAAACAGGCAGAAGCTGAGTAAGAGGGCCGGCCATTCTGTGTGCAGTCCCTGCAGAATGATCCGGGGGGGGCAACAGGGCTGTGACGTGGGGAGGGGGATCAGATGTACTTTCTGGAGGAACGTGGCTCTTCAAGATCCTCGTGTATTTATGGAACGTCGGGCATACAGGATGCTAAAATTAACCACAGCGATATAACATGCTTGAAGTGTACAAATGTGGAAGGGCATGGAACACGGTGTGGATTCATTTATGCTTATATGTACAGTCCTGTTGATTGTAAGTTTAATTTATATACATGCCATTGCAGTTCTGAGAATGTTTGCCTAAACAGAGGCAAGATTAAATTTAGGCTAAGGTCTCTACATTCTGTCTGCTTTAGTTGCCAGTTTTTACACCTGCTCTGATACTTCAATATGATTAGGAGTCCATTCTACACTATTTTGGGCACCTATATTTCTGTGGTCCCTATAGGAGTAAGTTCAGTTCTCCAGAACATATAACGCCATAGGTTCAATGTGAACCCTCTGACCTGTATCTCAATAACAACATGCAGGCCACAGACAGGTAAACAAACATTCTGGCCTCCTGAGAAAGTCACGCTAAGGAGCGATATTGGCGGGGTTCCCGACAGCTACATCAGTAGTTGAATCATGCGATGGAATTGAGTGGAACCTGTAGGTTTACTCAGCACTCACGAGACTGTGAGTGATGTCACTTTTCACCCACGCCCATCATGTGACTCTCTCTGGCCACCAAACACGCCAATGAAATAAAACACAGAGGAACTGTCTACGTCACTACACATGTCCGTACATTCCAATGTGAGCAGGACACTAGCTTTGCCAGAATCCCAAACAATACCATTAGCTAGTGTGTAAGTATGGGTGTAACTCAGTGTTTAATCTCCGGGTCATGTGTTAATAGTCAAAAACAAAAGCTACCAAGACAAAAGCAGCCAAATCCAGCACTTCCAAGCTGGTCACCATTGTAAATGTTTCCCTAGGATACAATGTGCAGAAGTGCTGTGTCATTTCATCACATGACACTAATTTTTTGCCCTCAGACTGTGATTGGCTATATAAGCCCAACCCAGACAACACCTACCATTCAAAAGAAACAGCAATATACACAGCAAAAGGAAAATTTCAGAGTAAGATTATTCTTACATTTTAAAATAATACATCAGTAAATATAATTGATAAAAATGTATATATCCAAAAATTTCCACCTTAAAACTGGGCTCTGCTCATGTCATACTTCGTAGATTATTTGTGGTGTTCCATGATAATTGCTAGGTCTAAATGTCATACTCTACAGATCCTTAGATCTTACTATGACCAGCTAATCAGCAAAAGCTTGCAAGGTTTTGGCTGGTTACCCTCCAGAAGAGCAACATCTGCTAAGACAAAGTGCAGTCTGCCACTAAATTAACACCAAGATCTGACTCCCAATATCAGTTACACTGCCATTCTCACCAGAGGTTGTGCCAGACAGACATGTGGAAATCACATTCAGAGGCAGAAACTCTGTCAGCTGGTGACAAGCTGCTATCCTTTCCAAGCTGATTTCAGACTTTCTTGCATTGCATTTGTAGAAATGTGATTCCCGAAGGAGGCCATGCAGTGAACTGAGGCCTTTCACCAATTCTCTTTTGCACAGACAGTCTAGGAGTCTAACGGGAGGAAAGTAGAGCAAGGTACAGCAAATTATAAAGCAACATATTAATACCTTTATGTAAACTACTTGATACTGCTAGGGTCTGAGTGTCTTCTTAAATGCAAGCCCAGAAAATGACTGAGAAAACCATGTCTGTCAAATGGATCAGAAAGCAGTGAGGTCAGAGAGCATAGAATGTGGCTTGTCTGGTCCAACAAACTCACTGCGGCAGCCGAGGTCACAGAAGAGACATACTTTGATGTCATGATGTCGCAGGAAATGAATCATCATCAGCACATACAGTATGTACTTGCTGAGGTCTGACCTCCCAAAGCTTGTTTACTGAAAATGGACCAGATGGTCAAAGGGACAGGTGAGAGGGAAAAGGTTTTGTGTGGTAACCCTGTCTCAAGATAACGATGAGATTAGTTTACTGGAAAGGGTATTCTTCGTAGTCTGCGCATTTGGGGAAATGAAGACCGTACTTATTGTAGGGTCTGCGGCACAAATGAAAACACATACATAAAATGAGGTTTAATCCCTAAAGCTGTTTCTGTTCATTCAACTGTCCATTGGCTATGTTACAATTTTACTTTGGGTAAAACCAGGTGATTGACTGGTCACAGTAACCCCATCCACCTTTGGTTCCTTGTTTTTCTCAAGTTGGTAGAGAGTGAAACCTTCCCTAATGTTATATATTTTAAAGAGCCTTATCAAAATCAGGTATAGGGAGTTCCTTCCAAGATTTATTGGATTATGAGGTAAAGTGGCTACATCCTGCATATCATGAAGGAGATATGATGCAGATGGAGAACACTTCAAGTGTGGCAACCAGGAACACTGCTAGCTTCAAAATGCTGGCCAGCCAAACCTGACACCCGCGTTGAGTTTGATGCCCAGAGACCCATGCGGGTCATTATAAATTATAAAACTGCAAGGCGTTCACCATCAACCACAACAACAGTGCCGCTAACCAGAGCCACTTTGTTACATTGGCAGACGCAAAGGGGGCAGGTGAGGACACACTAAACCACACACGTCAATGTGACGCTGTCAGTCCCCTTTCACGCAGACACCACTCTGAGCCTCCGCTGGTGTTTGGACAACCATAAGAGTACATTCGCCGTTATCACGGTTGGCTGCCCTCTGGGACCCACACTCAGGCTCATTAGTCAACATGAATGTCAATGGCGCAGTCAGCCATCCATTTTTTGCAATTTCCTGTCATTAAAATGCTAATGTGACTGGCAATATATGACTGATTTACAGTCTACACCAGTGCTGAAGTGGTCTGTTCCACCTATGTAACCCATGTAACAGAAGTAATCAGCTCATCTTCAAGTCCATGGTTAGTGGAACTGAACGTGCTGTAGGTGAAATTTACAAATATACTTAATGGCCAAGGATGTTCAAGAGAAGTTTAGAACACAACCATAAACAACATAAATGGATTTCCATTATTTTCCAATTGTCTATTCAATGTTTTTTTTTTCTCAAAGCCAGTTGCATGTCAAAGATAATAATAGGTATATTAAGCATATGTTATGTAAGCAGCAGTGTGTCTACATGCTAAATCCATAAATGCAGATGCCTTCTGACTGACAGGATGTTGCATTCATTCCACTCAAATGACTTTACCTGAGACTAGGTTTCTTAGGTGCTTTCCCACCGCAAGAACATTCTTCAGGAACCAGAATCTTTTTCAGGAACCAGGAATTTCTGTCATGTTCCCACCACATAAAGATCGATCTGCTAGCCAGATGTAATAATGAATTAAAAACATGTCATGGGCCATATAATTAAAATGCAGTATGTCCCGTGTTTTCACACTGCTCAATCGATCTCCCTAGTAACTAATAAAACGACTTGTTCATCCTCCAATGTTTTGGGGTGGTGGTGTAGTTTCGTTTAAAATTGCCTGTGAAATTTAACCTATGAGATTTTAGAGTCTCCCATGCTTATTTAGCATAAAGGTCACGGTTTTTGTTGTGCGGTGGGAAAGCAACACACGAAAGTGGCCAGGATGTATCGAAGTTCCCGGTCAAGATGGACCAGGAACTTGGAACCAGGAAATAGGTTCCTGAGCTTCGGCAGCTTGGGCGTTGCTAGACCACTTTGACTAGGGAACATGCAGCGGTATTTATCTACTGTGCCTCAATAAAATATCATGCTTGAGTTTTAATGAGCTCCAATGGGCTTATTTGGCAGTGGATTCATTTACATCGATAATAACGGGAAATGAATGGATATTTTTCTAATTTAGCAAAATACAAGCTGAGGAATGACAACACAACAGTACTAAACAGGGGAATCATTAGGCCTATTTTAGGGAGGCTTTAGCCCCCCAAATAAATGTGTATTTATTGACTTAAGTCCGCCCCCTCAGTAAAGGCCATCCTATCCATTCATCTCTAACTATTCCCCTGGTACTAAAGTTTCCAAATAATATCGGTGACCTTATTTTGACCGAGGAATGATAATATAGTAGTATTGCACATGTCATACAAGCAACAGGCATTCAACAAAAGATTGTGTGATTTGAGTGATGGGGGGGCCTCTACCCCAGGAGAGCTTTATGTCTGGTTTATGTTGGTGGGAAAGTGCCTATTGATGCTCACGAAAACACACACACACACACACACACACACACCCGAAGGCACAAAGATGTGCATAACGCAATCCCCGCAAAGTGAGTATTATGCAACTAGGAAGCCCGGAGGAAACTGCGGTTGAGTAAATGCCGTGAGGTGAGACCGTGTCGTCCAATGGCGCTGCTCCTACCTCGACGTCCGATGTCCACTGCTGGGGATTTTTTTTCTTCTGAAAATGACCTTCACAATTCACAAACGTTAGCATTAAGAAAACGAAGGAGGGA